TAAAAAAGTATATTTTATCAATAATTATTTCAGCTATAACTATTATAAAAAATATATTTAAAAATTTGAGGCGAATGCATAAAATGTGAAAAATATGCGGAAAATTTAAATAATAATAATAACAATAAAATAGTTCTTACAAAGGGCTAACTAATCTTGATTTAAATCATATCTTAATTTGGCTGCAGGGAGAAATGAACTGTAAGAAAGTAATTACTCGTATTGAGATTATTTTACCTAACTACGCATGCGCGATTTTATCCCTTTTGATATACGTAGAAACCACTTGTGTTTACTTTGACTTGTGATGTGTGATTTAATTAATTAATAGATTCATTATTTAAATTTTGACTAGCTGAAAGAAATAAGTCTTTGTTAACAATCACGTTATTAGATCATGCCAATGTTATTAGAGATAAAAATGGTGATTAAGGTAAGGAGAAAACAGTATTACTAGCTATCTCAAAAAGTACTTAAGCTATACAATTAAATAATTATACAAAGAATTTTGAGGCTAGGGTGACAACAATAATTGAAAGCGATGAATTAAAACCTAATCAACTTCTCAATGAAGCTTCAATCCTCTTTTTAAGTGATAGTATGTTATATAATCTNACAAACATAAACAATATAAATATATACTCATATTTTCCAAAATAACATATTGTTTACATATAAATAATATAAATTGTATACATCCAATGGTGGATCTCTCAACTAAACTGGATGTCCAGTGACACCAAAATTACCTCTACAAAGATAACAATAAATTTGGACTAAATATAATATAGATGAAATTTGAGTGAGTAAACAGACTTTGATTAAGCTAATTACATAATTAACACGTGTTACAATTCTATTACATTATACATCGCATCACTTTTAATATCCATAAACATACAATTCTATTACATTATACATCGCATCACTTTTAATATCCATAAACATAAGCATGGACATCATCTTTTGTCATCCTTTATAACAACAAACAATAAATATTTTTATTGTTTAATTCTTTTTTGTTTATAGCCAATTACAACATTTTTTTATATGATTTTAATCACTAATGCAGGAAGGTTGACAAAGACATGAGCTTTAGAGTGTGCTTGTATATTTAAGAAAATAATCATTTTTTAACTCAAAATTCAATTCAAGTTTAATTCAACCACAACTCTATTCAATATTATTAATATAATTAAATAATATCAATCGATCATCTCCACATATCACATTAATTTTAATTCACTATTAATCTACTACTCACATAATTTTAACAACTCACCACTTTCAAGCACTCTCTTATAATTTTATATCAAATCGATTTTAATCAAGACTAGGGAAATACCCGGTTCATTTAGTGTGAAGCACAACTGCACAACAAACATTATGTCCACTAGTATATCTAATTTATATCCAATTGTATGTATAATTGCAGTTCATACATATGCACACATACCATAATAGGACATCAAAATTAAAAAGAAAGATGAACATTTAGTTAAAATAAGGAAAGTTTTTGGCCTAACTTAAATAAACACTATTAGCTTTTGTCTTGTTATATATAGAAGAGGAACGTGGAAATGAAGGTAAGCTTCAAAGCAAATAATTTACCTTTAATTTTAAACATTTTATGTTTTTTAATCATCAAGTGATTATGCTATCTTTTGGTAAAAAATTGAGCCAACGGCTCCATCTTTAATGTTTGTTAATTTTCGTCACTTAAGGTAATGTACAGTCTTCTCAAGAAATATAGGAGGAAATTATAAATTTTGTCTTAAAAAGATTTCAATTTTCACTTATGCACAAAGAGAGTATTTGCAATAAATAATTAAAATGCGGGAATTTTGCTAAATTACAAGTGTTGCATTTTAATGTATGACATTTGATTATGAAATTATATAAATTCATAAAAGTTAAATATTTTTATTGTAAATATAATATCTTTGTTTATATATTGCATTGTAAGTGTGACATTTGATTATGAAATTACATAAATTCATGGTTCGTGTCAATAAATCATCTGTGAATAATTATTGATGACTCATACCACTTGTCATTCGGTGGTTCCACAATAAATTTGCATGAAACTATGTATATCTTTTCGAATATTACAACTATCTAACCGTGTGACAACCTCACACGAGACATTAATTGTTAGATTGAACTAGCTTTACATGAACATTTACTTTTTTAACATTTTCATATAATCAGATGCCGAGTCATAAAAAATAACATATTTTAGCATCAATAAAAGTAAAATATTTTATCGAATAAAATTCATATATATTTTTAAAATATTTTTATCGACCCGTTTTGACTCGTGAAGGATATTGGAGTTGAAGACGTTAGTTTGGACTGGGTTAATTTAATTGGCCCATATAAAAATGTCTCATCGTATTGAAATGTGGGCCCATTGTAAGAATCAAGTTCAAGATTTCAAACAGGGACACTACTAAATACTAGCCCACTATACGTATACGGCTACGAACTATGACATGTGCATTTAGGTTCCAAAATAGAGAAAATTTTCAATATAATACTGTGACGATGGTCATATACTCCTTTGAAATGCTCTATCAAAACAAGAGTTGTAAATGAGTTGACCAGAACTCTTGATACGAAGGTTATGTTTGGTAAAATTAGTTGATAATAGATGAACTAACTTATAGCTTATCAGTAATTTTTGAGTTTGTAGTTTATATAACTTATAACTTATAGTTGAAAAACTATCTTATATGATAAAAGTGTTTGGTAAAATTAGCTGGTAAGCTAGCTGAAATAACTTCAACGAGCTTATTTGAAAAACTACTCAAAGAAAGCTTATTTAAAAAAGTTTATCTTACCAAACGAATCTTATTTAAATACATAAAGCTTATAAACTAACAAAATAAACTATAAGCTAGTTTATTTGTCAGCCAAACATAGCCTAAGTTTGAGCCCTTATCAAGTTGAATCAAGCTCAGCTTGTTATGTCAACGAACCTACAACCGAGCCAATCACATGCCAACCTTTTCGTAATGACTTAATATGCTCATCAACTCTAAATTTAATATATCAATAGCTAATTGTCAAAAATTATGTATGCTTCAATAAAAATATGTATTTATTCTAAAATAAATAAAATACTACTATACATTATGTTGGGAAAAGTGACCGTTTTGAAATGTAGGAGGGAGTATAGAGTATGCAATATGACGTTGAAATACAAAAATAAAAGCGAAAGCACACAGAGTTACAAATTTATTAAAGGAATTTTCCACTATCCCTTATATCTCTTTTATTATATAATAGATCGTACAAAGTACAGTTTGAACTTACATGACTCCCAGCCGGTATAGCCAACAATATACCTGACTCTATTAACTAATCATTTGGGCACAACACATGGACTTCACAATAGCTATATATCTCTCTCAGTTATACAAGTACTTAATCCCTAAGCACAATAAGTGTTTGTAAAAAGAAAAAACAAATTCAGTTTTCCAATGGTGTAAGAACACTAAAAAACTGAATCGAGTAAAAGAAAATAAAAATGCTCACGAACACTTAATGAAGCCTAGAATGTATTAAACTCAATAATTGCAAAAATCTTCAATAGAGTCTTCGTGTATGCTTATATACAACATCTTCAAGATAATGAGCCTTCTAAAATTTCTTCTTTCCTTTTGGAGTCGATTTATTTATTTTGATTTATTCAAGACTTGGTTGAGATCTTTCAATTTGAAGTCGAGATCTTCACACACGTTCTTCATCGACCAACTTCTTTTTTTCTTTATACGCGCGATTTACAATCTCCCTACAAATATTTAAAACAAGAATTATAAAAATAAAAGCATCATACATAATAAAGTATATTAGATACTAATATATTACACATATATCTTATTACCAATCTTAACAATATAGTATCTAGACTTAAGAAAATAAAAGAGGAATAAAAAATAAAACTTCAATTTTAATTCATTTTACTTGCAAGAAAATCATCAAGATTTTATTATTTTAGAGCTCTTGCTAAGAAGTAAATATTCCACTCGATTATCTAACAAAAATAATTTTTATATTTCATTTTTTTATGCACCAGCCAATTTCGAATCTCAATTTTTATTCCTTAATATGCATATCTACAATTATTTTCTTACCTTTTGACAATTTGGGTGCAGAAATTGGTCAATCGTGTGACCGAATTTTCTTTGCCCAAATTGAAGACACAAAACGACGTCGTACGTCCTCGGGTTTTGTGACCGTTGCTCCTTTTGAAAACCTTAACTGCATTCGCACCTTACAAAGTCCCTTTCCTCCATTTACCACCGTACCCTTCCACTTTCTCTACAGTGCGTAAGCGCATTTCAGGAAGAGCCAACTCAGTGGAAAAAACACGGAACCGCACTAAAACAGAAACTGAGAGAATACCTCCCCCTTTCTCTCTCTGCGAGCTGCTCTGTACTTGTCACTGTACACACTGTCTCACAAAAATTGTCCCTTTTATCTTTTTCCTCATCAGCATTCATCACTCATCCGCCGATCTCAGCTTAAAAAAATGAGATAAATTGGAAAAATTATAATGCGTGGGCATAGTTATTTCTGTACCTGAAATCGCCGTTCTTGTAGGTGGCCGGCCGGAGCTGGCGGAGCAAGCATATTCTCAGCTGAAATTTTCCTGTTTTTTGGAAACCCTATTTGCCGTAAATCGACCCCATTTGGGTGATTTTCTGTAAGATTTCATATGTGCGCGTGTTTATAATCATACATCTGTAAAAAAAAAGGTGTCTTTATTTATCTTTTTTGTGTGTGTACCCATGGAGGTAGTGCTTTTTCTGTACCTGTAAGAGATACTCATCCATGTAAAAAAAGGTCGGAGAAAAAGCCCTTTCTTCCCCAAATTAAAGCCAAAGGGAAGAAAAAAAAAAGAAAAAAGAAAATATGGGTTGCGCGCAGTCGAGAATAGAGAATGAAGAATCGGTTTCTAGATGCAAAGAGAGACGGAATCTCATGAAAGAGGCGGTTGGAATAAGAAACGCCTTTGCTTCAGCCCACTCCGGATATTCGATCTCCCTGAAAGACACCGGTGCCGCTCTCAGCGACTACGCTCAGGGGGAGGTCCCTCCATCGCCGCCGGAGGCGGCGGCGCCGTCCGACCCACCGCCGTCCGAGCGGCCGCCGCCGCCCCCTCCGCCACCAATCGAATCCACCCTCCCTCCCCCACCTCCCCCGCTCCCGAGCTTCTCCCCCATGCCGCCCCTTAAACGAGCTGTCACCATGCCAGCGAATTTATCAGAGAACATGAAGGGGAAAATGAAAGGCATTGCCATGGATGATGGGGATATTTACGAGGAGGAGGAGATTGATGAGGAAGAAGAATACGAGGAGGAGGAGGAGGAGAAAGTAGGGTTTCGTAGGCCGAAAAAGGGAGCTGATGAAAGTAAAGTAGATACAACACCTGTAAGGGCCCCACCAAATCCGGCGACCCCACCAGAACTTAAAGGGATGGCCTGGGACTATTTCTTCATGGACAACATGGCACAATCGAATTTGGACGAGGTCGAGGAGGAGGAGGAAATGGAGGAGGAAATGAGGGGTGGTGTGGAGGGCAAAAATGGAAATCCTGAGGATTTCGAGTTCAGGACACCTGATAAGCTTAAGCAAGTGGGGTTTGAGGGGATTGAGGAGTTCAAGACTCCGGATGAGACTCCGGCCGAGAAGCAGTTTGTGCATTCGAAAACGGCCCCACCTGCAATGAGTAGATTTGCCGGTGGTGGAAATGTTGTGGGAAATAGTGCTAATAATAATAATGGTGTGGATTTATTGAAAATTTTGAGTGAGGTGGATGATCATTTTCTCAAGGCTTCTCAGAGTGCGCAGGAGGTCTCGAAGATGCTGGAGGCCACACGGCTGCATTACCATTCGAATTTCGCGGATAATCGAGGTGATGATGCTGATTTTATGGTTTTCGGTCGAAAGAATTTTAGGTTTGTAAAACTGTGGTTTTAATTTGCAGCTGTGGATAGATTTAGAAATTCTTTGATTGCGTGTGTAGTTGATCGTTTTTGTTGCCATATTTGTACGATAATGTAACTGCTTGCGGGATACACGTGTTAGAGGTCGGTAGTTACATTTAATTACTCCATATTGATGGAATCTTGAAAATTATGGCATGGGTTGGGGGGAATCTAGGATCTGAATGTGCATTATTTTTGAAGACTCGGAAAAAATTGAAACTTTTTATGAAGAAAGTTGTAATCTTTGCAAGAAAATTACCAATATTGGTTGCATTTGAGACTGGATAAATGAAGTAATCTGGAGATTTCAAGAACTTTTTGATTTCTTAGACTGTACGTAGATTCATTTGTAATAAATTAACATCACATCTCGCTTGTGACTTTAGTTTTATTATATTTGAAACAATACATGAAGTTCTGCCCAAAACTCTTGGATTGTGAAAGCTAAGCATCGGTTTTGGACCTTTTGACTAGATCCATTGAACACCTTAATACTCGGATTCTCTTTCAACTATGATAGATCAAATTGGCTCTTCTTTTTCAGGACATATTGACCATGCGGCAAGGGTCATGCAAGTTATTACTTGGAATAAATCCTTCAGAGGTGTTCCTAATGGGGATGGGACGAAAGATGATCCAGAAGCAGAAGATTATGAGACACATGCTACCATTTTAGATAAGTTGCTAGCGTGGGAGAAAAAGCTTTATGAAGAAGTTAAGGTGCATTGTGTTCTTAATTCCCTTTTTCATCTCCATGGCGTTAAATGTTTTACAATACACTCCTCAGCTTATCAAATTATTATAAATGGCGTAATTTTTTGTCTTGCTTTTCCAATATCTAGACAAATCTGATGGGTGTAACGAAAATGAGAGACCAAACTTGGTGTGTTTTTCACTACTTCGAAATAGTTAAAAAAAACGAGGGATGTAGTTATATTAATATTGAAGATATTTGGCAATTCCTATTCGTCTACTAATGCCAGGCGCAGCAAACCGAGCCCCGAGGGATGTAATCAGTGACTTCCTTTTTTTGGTTTACAGACTGGCGAGCTTATGAAACTCGAGTATCAAAGGAAAGTTGCTCAGCTGAACAAACTGAAAAAACGAAATGCTAGCGGCGAACAACTGGAGAAAGCAAAAGCTGCCGTTAGCCATTTGCACACGCGCTACATTGTTGACATGCAATCCTTGGATTCAACTGTCTCCGAGGTGAATGATATACGAGACAAGCAGCTGTACCCGAAGCTCGTGGCTCTTGTTCATGGGTAAGCTAAACTCCCCATCAATATTACTAAGATATATGAGTCCTAAGAGATTTACACATAAGTTGAGTTATGGATGATCTTTTTTAATTTATTTTATTTTATTAGGTGTATTTGTGTCGGTTGAAAGAAAACCGATTAGCAACCGAAAGTTTTGATTTGTTTTGATTTTTTGATTTGGTATGGTTAATTTTGAAAAAAGAGGTACGGTTAGTTAGTGGGATTTTGAGTTTATATTAAAAGAATATTTAAAATAAAATAATTAAAGTTGATTTGATGTAAAAGTAGGAGAGAAATGATGGGAAGTGATGGTTAGTTAAAATTATATGAATGGATAAAGAGCGAATTAAAGTCAGATGCAATGTGAGAATGATTGAGTGAATGCTTTTTAATTATATTAATAATATTGAGGATAGAGTTGGGGGATGAGATAAAGTTGAGTTAGATTTGAGTTAAAAAAAAAAAAAAAAAAAAAAAANTTGGTTTAAAAAATTATTGATTTTTTTTAGAAAAAATTGTATCGAACTTTTCTCGACCAAAATTCCTAAAAAACCCTCCGAAAACACACAGGATGGCCAAGATGTGGGAATCCATGTGCGGCCACCACGACTCGCAGCTCCGAGCTGTTGCAGGCCTCCGAGCCCTCGACGCCTCCGGCCTCGTCATCATCGAGACAACAAAACACCACCACGCTCGAACCCGCCAGCTGGCCTCCGTAGTCGAGCGTTGGCACTCCCAGTTCGAGAAGCTCGTCTCCAGCCAGCGCAATTACGTAAATACCCTCAACTCCTGGCTCAAGCTCAACCTCATCCCGATCGAGCGCGCGGATAAGTCCGCTGCCACCGCCACTTCTCCTCCGCGGGCCCCGCCAATTCAGCCCTTACTCCGCACGTGGCACGACCACTTGGAGAAGCTCCCGGACGAGGTGGCGAAAGGGGCGATTTCGTCATTTGCAGCCGTGATCCAGACGATCGTGCTCCACCAAGAAGAGGAGATGAAGCTGAAGGAGAAATACGAGGACACGCAGAGGGAGTACCTTAGAAAAAAGCAGTCTTTCGAGGAGTGGTACCAAAAGCATGGGCAGAGGAAAGGCTCGATTTCGAACGAGGAGGAGGGAGGAGGAGAGCAGCTGCCGGCGGGGAAAGATCCGGTGGCCGAGCGGCAGTTTGCGGTGGAGAGTCTGAGGAAGAGGCTGGAGGAGGAGATGGAGGAGCACCAGAAGGTTTGCGTGCAGGTGAGGGAAAAATCGCTCGGGAGTTTGAAAGTGAGGCTGCCGGAGCTTTTCCGGGCGCTCTCGGATTACGCGCACGCTTGCCGGGAAGCGTACGGGAGGCTGAGGGGTCTCGTTCAAGACTCG